AGGTAGTTAATTTTTTTCAAGTTAATTTTAATTTAATTTTAATTTTTTGCAAAATGAGGAGATGTTTTAAGGTTGTTTTTTTTACGACCGCATCAAAGTTAATTTTATTTAAACTATATTGACTATTAAAACATGAAACATCTAACTTGTTTGAATACTGAAACATCTAACTTGTTTGAATACCGAAACATCTAACTTGTTTGAGTATTGAAACATCTAACTTCTTTGAATTAACTTGTTTGAGTAACGATATCTTTATAACTACAAATAATATTTTATGATTTTCTTATTTATATTTTAAGCTTTTAATATGTCTTGTTTTATCCAAATTGAAGCCGTTATTTTTTTAACTTTTGGCCATCTTGCGTGCCACTGCGCGAAGTAGATTACTACGCGTTCGTTTATGCGGTTCAGCAAAGTTTGGCATTTTTGTAGCTCTTAACTAATCCAAGTTAATAGTATTATAGTAGCATTATCCCAGTGGGCACAGGACGTAAAAAAGACGTCCTTAGGACGTTCAAATCGCGTCCGTCCGTCCCATAAAATTTTAAACGTCATTTGAACGCCTTTTTTGCGTCCAATAATTTTTTCGTCCAAAAAATATCCAGAATGCTTTATTAAATTAAAAAAAAATCAGTTAAATCACGCAAGCGCTAAAACTTCTTAAAATTTTTAAGTAACGCATTTTTAATAAAGTTTTTTTTCAATTACAAAAGAAGTCTTTTTACAACGACTAATAGACACGTTCCATCTAATTTTTGTTTTTGTTATCAATTACTTGAAAATTGTGGTAATATTGATACAGGTAATGAAATTTTTACAGATAATGAAAGAAACGGTTTAAAACTGAATATATGCTATACTATGTATATATATACTTGATATACTATTAGTATAGTATTGCTATATCAAGAACCAAGTTCTAACAATTTCAAAGATTTAGACATCTCATGCAGAATCGAATTTTTCAATAGGAAAACCTGTTAATGATACATGAAACAATTATCCTGATAATTCTTTGAATTCAATGTCTTTACTCGACAACATTGAGCTATTCAATAATGGAACCAGTACATTAGTTAATGATCTTCTTAAAATATTGCCAAATCAAGGTTTGGAACTTCCCAAAGATTCAAGGAGAATTTTAAAAACACCTTATGAAAAGCGACTTATGAAAAAAGACAGGTTCTTGCTAATTTATATATATATATATATATATAATTTTAAACATTTAATTACTTGAGAATCGTATTAATATTGATACATATATTGAAATTAATACAGATATTGACATAAATAGTTAAAAACTCGGTATATGATATGTATATATATATATATATATATATATATATATATATATATATATATATATATATATATATATATATATATATTAAGTATATACTTGACACTTGATATAGTATTTCAAGTATAATAATTGATATACTATATCAAAAACCAAGTTCTGACTGTTTGAAAGACTTAGACATCGCAGAATCTCATGCATAGTCATATTTTTCAAAAGGAAAACCTATTAATAATACAGAGAGTTTATGCTAATAATTCAATATAATTCAATATCTTTAATTAACAACTTTTAGATTGTTCTATTCGAAATAATTGGACCAGTACATTAGTTAATGAACTTTTTGAAATATTACAATATCAAGTTTTGGAACTACGCTAATAACCAATCACTTAACTTTAGTAATTAGTTATTAGTGAAGTTCAAAAGTTTTGACTAAAAAATAAGTCTAATTAAAAAAATTAAACCAGTCGTAACAGTTATTTAAGAGACAGGAGGGTAGAAAACTTCCTTTACTCTAAAGGAAATTTTCTACCTACCTGTCTTTTATATAACTGTATTACTTGTTTAAATGTTTTAATTAGACATTTTTTAGTGACTTATCCTACTCTTTTATTATCTGATTATCTAAAAGTATCCTTTAGAAGATAGATGTAAATAACTTTTCTCTTTTATCATTCTTTAAATGATCAATATGAATAATTTTAATTAAAACCAATATTTATATTATTTGATAAAATTTATATTTTAGTAACTTATCCAACTTAAATAAAAATAAGAAAAATATATTTAAAGATGGAATTGATTTAATATTTTTTTGAAATGATTTTTTATAAGATATTTTGAAAATTTATGGTTTTAGTTTTAGTATTTAGTAAAAAAATATATAACACAGCAAAAACATTTAAATCAGGATTTCAGTGGAGCTATATAAGCATTTTAGGTCGTTGCAGTTTTGGTCATCGTTTACTTAATGGCCTATTAGTGGCAGCAGCCAAAAGTGCCTAACATATGAATAACCACTGGCGTAGCCATTTAGAACTAGTTCTGGACGTCCTTTCGACGTCATATGGACGTTGCCGTGCCCGCTGGGATAGTAGTTATAGAGGAATTTTTATGAAATTCAAACATTTTTTTATATAAATTTTTTATTTGAAAAGTGAATAGAATTGTATTTACGATCTTAAGTAAAAATATTACAAACAAATTATAAATTTAAGGAATGTTTTTCCAATCGGGTGCAACATTTTTTTATTGTGCTTCACTTATATTTTTACTATAATTACGCGCATGCTGGCAAATCAATAAATTGTATCGAGAGTTTAAAGATAATAACACAATATTGAAGAAACGCTTAAACACTGCATGACCAAACATGATACTGCATGACCAATTTAACAGTTATTAAAGAACTTTAAGTTTTATTATTCACTAGTGTAATACACACAACATATTAAAAGTTCTCGAATAATTGTTTAAAAACTGTCTGTAAAAATATTTTTTTAAAAATTGGAGACTAGGCGAGAAAATTACAATTTACACAAATTGCTTAATTTGTAATTTTCTGTAAACTGACTTAATCCTTAATAATATTTGAATGTTTCAAAACTATACACCCAAACTTTACTTACACCCTAACTTTACTCAATTTAGTTAAGTATATTTAAAAAGCCGGATGAGTAAAGCGGATAAATAAGGCAGAAAAAATATGGGTATACTTCATACAAATTATTAGGCGCAATCAATTTTTTAAGCTGTAAAGTATTATACGTAAAAAAAAAAATCAAATTAAAGTTTTTTAAATATTGAACCAGTTGTTTAAGTTTTTCTTTTTATCTATATTACAACAATAACAATTAAATTGTAAGTATATGCAATAAACAAAACGTAGTCATGGAAACTTCGGATATACATCAGATATAATCTACTTTAGACATCGTTAAGTTTAAAGCTTGTAATTTTGTGAACTTTGGATGTAATGATGTCTAAAAAAATGCGACTAAAAAGAAAGGATTAGAATATAAGCCTCATTGGTGAAGGATGAAGAAATTTTTATGAAAAATCCTTAGACAAGATGTTTGGTTTGTCGACAACAATTTATTAAGAGATTTTACTTCTGTATAAACATTAAAGTATTTCAGTTTAAAAAATTAAGACCAATGTAGTTAACTGAGAGTTGAACAACGTAAATAAATGGTTTATACATAAATTTCCCTCAAAATTTCAAATAACTAAGTTTATAAACTAAAGTTGAATATACTTTTTTAATATCACCTACACAGTCTTAAAATTAATAAAAATAAAAAGACTCCTAAGAAGAAAAGTTCACAAATAAACTGCTTAGGGTGAAACTTTATTACGGAAGGTTTAGAAAGATGTAAAAAAAAAAAAAATTTTTAATGTAAAGAATGAAACAAAATATTAAACGTCATATTTTTAAAAGTTATTAACTCTACATATTTATTAACACTTTATATAATTTTTTTTTTTATACATAGTTTTTTACAATATTGCTTGATACAAGTCTAAAGTTTGCAATTTAGTCTACAGTTTGGATTTAGTGAACTTAACATATAATTTTATAATTTATATTGAAAATAAAATAGTGCAGTCACCAGATTTTCAACTTAAGTTGAAAATCTCTGAAAATCTGGTGTGTCTGGTCTCTAGCCACACACCGGCTAGAGTCCGTAGAAAGCAGATTCAACTCTCAGAGCGTCATTATCCACCTACACAGACTAAAAGTAAATAAACTTTTTAAAGAAACGAGTTGAAATAAAAAAAGCAATAAGTCGTGTTTATAATGAACAAAGAACTTAAGTTATAATATTATTATTCAAATGTTATTTTATTTTAACGTTACCAGCGGCTTATTAAAACGTGATTTGTTAAGATTTAGATTTTGTAAGGTTTCACAATTAGATTTCATAATTTTTTAACTAATCTGAAGAACGTAATCCTTATTGTACACATTTAAATTTGTTATATAACTTAAGTAGACGAAAAAATTTGCCTACTCTACAATGTCAACTCTACAATGTCAACATAAGAATATTTTTAAGCAACAGTTATAAATAACGCCCTTATGCGATATTATGTAATATACAAATAATTTTTATGTAAGATACAAATAATTCAAATGTAGTAACATTTTTTGATTTTTTTTCATTTACAATTGTTTTTGTTTCTTATATTTTGTAAAGGACACAGAGTTGAACAGAAGATAATTAGGATAAAATGACACTTTATTCACCATCAATACGCTTTAAACGTAAAAGGAAGTCAATGTCGATATCTTTTTGTTGTTTTAAGTCTAATAAATTGCCCAAATAAAAAAATTTTCTTCTTAAGCTGGTGGGAAAAGCTCACTAAAAGAATGTGCTTGGTAATGAAGCAACACATTATGAAACATAATGATATCAATTCAAAATAATAGTAAATTAATATTTCATTAAATCAACAACTTATTTCTTTTTAAAGATTTACTAATATGTCATTTAAACATTGCGTTTGCATTAATTTTTAACTTTAATGTTAAAGCGGTAAAATACAAGTCTGTAATAAAATATAAATATATTTATTTCAAGTTTTAAAAACTGAAAAAATGTTACAAAAATTATAATTTGAAAAAAACTAGCTAAAACCTAAATAAATAAATTGTAAATAATAAATACATTTCTAAACACTAATAATTATAAAATTCAGGAATAAATATATGTTATATCAATTTTTATATCTATTTTATAAATATCATTCATAAAAGATCATAAATAAATTATTTTTTGAAATTAAAATAAAAAGCAATATTTGATTTTTTTATATATTAAAAAAAAAAAAAAAAATAGATAAAGAAATAAAAAAGAATTTCTACAGTTATAAACACAAGACTATATAAACAAAAAAGTATAAGTAACAAAACTTGATGTTACTATTCAAGTGCTAAACTTCTTGATATTAGACAATTATGTACTGCATAATTGTAAGATTAAAAAACAGTAAAAGTTGCACCCTATAG